GTACTTTCTATGACAAAAATATGTACGGAAAATAGTAAACACTTAATAGAATGATTTAAAATATTTAATGATTCGAGATTAAAATAAAGTTGAGCCAATATACCATGCGAAAATCGTGCCCTTTGGCAAATTCATTGCAATTATATTTGTAATCTCAATTTATCGGATAGATATCGTAAATTAAAAATTATATCTTAAAAAAAAAAATGTTTGATCACAAATTTTGTTATCTTAATACATAGTAAAGGTTTGTTCATATTGTTGCTCTTTCAAGATATTGTTAGCATCCTTTATAGTGCACAAATTGTCTTTAAAAACGTTTGATAATCTTACGTGTTCTTTTGAAGTAAAAATAAATTTTACAACATTACCAATAATAGTAATAATACGAAAGGGTTATCATCATAATCAATATCTATTTAAGTCTATAAAATAAAGTAAAATGTTGGACAAAAGTTTTTTAAAAGAATATTTTTATAAAACATATAAATGATTTATTAGATAAATATAAGTTATTGCAAATAAGTAATACTAACGCACTTTATATTCAAATGGTGAGAAACTCATTGTTTTTCTTAGATGTCTAAGATTTAAATCCATTGGACCAAAAAAAAATTCAAGAAGATTTCAAAATCCAATCAAATCGATCAATCGGGCTGGTTAACTCGGTCAAAACCCGATTTTGATCAAGTCAAGCATATTTCTATCAAATTACCGATCAAGGGCAGGGGCTGTCTGTTTTTCGGTCCAATCGGGCAGGGTCGGGTTTTATAACTATGTAAATTTATTTTGAGCTATTACTAGGTGATGATGAGGCTCTTTACTTATCTAGATCTTGCTTGAGCAATTTTTTTGTTCAAAATGCACTTTGGAATAGTATTTTGAAGAGAACATGTGGGCAGAAAAATAAATTTGAGTCAGCATATTATATTATTTTATTGAAAAATATGTGGTTAAAAATAAAAAGGAAAAATATATTTTAGAAATAATACGATGGAACAAGGACCTAATCTTGAAAATAACTGTGGAATTAAGTCAACCTCTAATTTTTACTCAATTATGCGAGACTGAACTCCTAAATGTTAAAATGTAAAGAGTCTTTAGCATGATCACTCTCGAATTTGTAATTTTTAAGGAAAACGATGAAAAGTTACTTGTAAAAATGGAAAGGCCGGTGTCTAGTGAAGGCCGGATCATCTCAAAATTGGATCGTACCAACACTACCTATTTTTGAGTTCTTTAAATTGAAGCATATAATAGATCTATATGACAGTGGAGAACTTGTCTTATTTAGGAAAAAGGACAGAGTTGGTGTGTGTGTGTGTAATAATTATCTGCCTGCGCAAATCTTTGTCTGTTCTATCGTCTTCTTGTGAAGGAAACAGTCAAAATCCACCAGATTTTCAATGCTTTACCATTCATTTAAAATCCAGGTAGAATGCTCTCAGTCGTAGATTATTTGGAGAATCCTACAAGAAAAAAAATAAAAAACACTTATTTGTCTTATTCATTTACAAGATTATGCGTATTATTGTTTAAAACCACGAACTAAACATCCTTCTAAAGTTATTAAGCCTAGGGCTGTAAGCAAAAATCGTCAAACCGAAAAATCGAACTGAAACCGCAATTTCCAAACCGTCGGTTTGGTGCAACGTGAACCCGTCAACGAAATGGTTT